TCCTCCCTGTGAAATGGAGTGGGGGGGGGGGTGGATCGGGATGAATGGAGAACACTAGCAGATAACATGCTAAATAAAAGTAAAAAGGAAGCTGTGAAGAAAAGAAGCAACCTGCCCATTGCACTCCCAAGTGGGAAAATGATACAAGAAATGGACTTACATTGTAAAACTTAAAATTTAAGCCTTTTGAGGAAGGAGATAAAAGAGGAAGGTGTGAGGTTAACAATAGAAAGACAAGAAAGAAGACATCTGAAGGAAACTAGAATTTATTGTAGTACAAACTCTATAAATCTTAGGTGCTTGGTTTTTAGAAGCACTTATACTCATTTCAGAGCTGAAGAGAGTCAATACTTAAGTGTTTGTCCCTACTTTCTCTGGGGAATGAAAACTATCAATCCTAGAACAACAATATTTTATGAACTTTATAATTATACTCCATACATTTTTTACCCTGAAAACACAAGGCAGAATCTTTAACAAGGTTAATGTTAAAGCCCTTCATGGCCTAGGCCCGGGGTACTTGCAGGATCATCTCCTGCCATCCTCCCATCATTCTGTGCGCTCCCATAGAGCGGGCCTCCTCAAGATGCCGTCAGCCAGACAATGTTGGCTGGTGGCCCCTAGGGGGAGAGCGTTCTCTGTGGGAGCACCGACCCTCTGGAATGGGCTACCCACTGGCCTTAGGACAGCCCCTGACCTCCTCTCCTTCCACTGCGAATTGAAGACGTGGCTCTTTCATCAAATGGGCTGATCCACAGGGGTGATTTTAAATCACCACTGTACTATAGAAGAGCCTGTAGTACAGTGGACTAAAGCACTGTTATTAACATCTGCTGCTTGCAATTACTGCAAGTTCAAATCTCACCAGGCTCAAGGTTGACTCAGCCTTCCATCCTTTCAAAGGTAGGTGAAATGAGGACCCAGATTGTGGGGGCAATAAGCTGACTTTGTATAAATATACAAAAGTATGAAGGCTATTGCTTAATGCATTGTAAGCCGCTCTGAGTCTCCGGAAAAGGACGGCATATAAATTAAAGCAAAAAAATATATAATAATAATCAATTTTTAATTGGATTTTTAATGTTTATGTAATTTTGTTCCGTTCTTTGTAAGCCGCCCTGAGTCCTTTGGGAGAAGGAAGGCATATAAATTACATTAAATAAATAAATAAATAAATAAATAAATAAATAAATAAATAAATAAATAAAATCTATCTCCTAATCTTTCAAGTTATACTGTTTGACAAAATTGTGCGAGATTATGCATCCATGGTACTTAAGGCTACCATCCTGAACCAAATTTGCTAGCAAACAAAGCAGATTTATGCTGTAGAATTTGTATCTGGATACGTTTGCATTAGATTATGCTGTAAAGTTCCCTTTTGACAACTCTGTAATGGATTCTGCTTATGTGCTTGGTCTAAGTAATCTTCAAAATTAGCTTCTGGAAGACACTTTCCTGCAGAGTAGCAGTGAGATGTTTCCTCTGTAACATGTACTGTATTTTTCAGAGTATAAGACGCACCGGAATGTAAGACACACCTATCTTTTTTGGTGAGGAAAAGAAGAAAAAGAAATCTCCCTCTGCCTCTGAGCAATTTTGCCTCATTGCAGCAAACAGCAAATAGCCTGCTTTATTTTCATTTTCATTTTCAGCATAGCTTGATTAGCACAAGGAAAAAAAAAAATCTGCTCCAGCAATTTACCTCTTTGCAGCAAGCAGCAGAGCCCTGCACAAAACAGCTGAGAGCAAATCAGCTGAGGGTCAGGAGACCATCCAATCAACTTGTGCTAATTAGGCTGTGCTGAAGCTGAAAGGAGCTGTTTTTTCTTGCTGTTTGCTTGCAAGGAGGTAACTGCTGCGAGGCAGAGGCCAAAGGGTGGGGGCCAGTGGGTGGGTGGGCAGGGCTACATTCGGGGTATAAGACGCACCTAAATTTTCACCCCCTTTTGGGGAGGGGAAAGGTGCATCTTATACTCCGAAAAATACGGTAACTGGGTTCATCTTTATTTGACCTAATGGCCATGTTAGAGACTATGTAGTCCTTCAAATGTTTTGGGACACAAACCTCCACCAGCAGCAGAAAACATGATATCAGAGTTGTAATCAAAGGCTACCAGATTTCCTATATTTAATTGATGTAATATAATATGGTTTTTTCCCCAGTTGTATTTCCTCAATCCTAGCATCACTGAGGATAGCAACATCAATGAACCAGACTTTGATCCTTTAGATCAGGCATGTTATAAACAAGATGGCTGTCTGTTTGGATCTTAAAGTCCCATAAGATCTTATCTTCTCGTTTGCAAAACCTTCTCAACTTGATAGCCCCAGTAGTTTTTACCACATTCAAATACAAATGATCTGGCAAAGTTTCCATTGAATAATTTTGGCAACTTGGTCATGGTGATGCCTGTAATCAGTTTGTGAAATTGCTGCAATCACTGATGAAATGGTCAATTGTTTCATTCTTTTCAGTACAAAGGTGACATTTGCTGTTGCTTTCCAGATGTTGAATTTTCACCTTCATGCAATTAAGAGAAAATTTTGCTTTGGAGTCACTAAAATAGAGCTTTAACATTCCTGATCTTAACCAACTCCATATGGGTTTTAAGTCAGCTTTTTCCTCTCTACTCTTCAATTAACAATTCAGTTTCCAATTGTTTCTTTTATGTATTATTTTCTGTATTCAACTTCCACCTTTGTTGTTTTCAAGAGGTTTCTTTGACTTCCTTCCTTCAGCAAGAGTTCTTGGATTTTCTTAATGTAGTCACTCAGGCCATATTTTTCTTTGTCCACAGTTTGTGTCACCTGTAGAAATTCTCTAACCCCTTCAGTTATTGGTAAAATATAGATGATCAATATCACTTTTTGGGTACAAAGTAGGGTGCATTGTCATTAGTTTTATTTCAATCCAAGTTACCAAGTTCCATCTGGATCCAGTCAACTTTTCCCGCTTTATATTGAACAACACGGACAGCCCAGGTTATTATTAAATTATTGTTACTATTACTAATGAACTGATCACAACACGTGAACTCACAGCTGCCAGTTTGCTATTGGTATTGGCCTTCATAAACACTGAGTTCTTCCCAAGAATCCAGGATGTCATAATGTATTGTCGTGGTTCATATTCAGATATTCAGATGTGGCTTTTTGCAATTGACAGCTGGAAATGTTGTTAACGTGAAGAATTTCTATGTGCCATACAATTTTTGGGGGGGTATGGGACCCAATGCATTGAAAACCACTGCAATTCCGACAGTGGGAAACCACTGTGTTTCCCACAGTAGTAAATGTGGCAGGCCTGAAGATCCAGTGCAAAAGATGGCTTCCAGGCCTGACACACTGTGGTTGGCTAATAGCAATAGCACTTATCCTTATATACAGTGGTAACTCACTGCTTACTTCCCTCCATGTAGATGTAGTTCCATTAAGGACTACATGTTGAGTGTGATTTGTCAGCGACTAACAAATACATCTGGTGATGATGTTGCTTATCCCACATTTTTAAGCTTATCAAGAAGTAGGTTTGTCAAATTCAGGACCCACCCTGAATTATTTCAACTGAATTCAACTGAAGCCACTATTCTGAAATGATTCCCTACCTGTTGCCGACCAAAAGACCATAAATGTTCAATGCAATTTTGCTATGAAAGTAGAAACAACATAGCATATTGATTGTCTGCAAGCTACTTTATCACTGTCTATTATCATAATCTTGTTCTCTGTCCTTTTTCCAAATTTGCAAAGCCCAGCTTAATATACCAAAATGCCCTTTGGCATACATATACACAATAATAGAAATATATATCAATGATGGATTAAGGAAAATGGAACATTTCAAAGGTTAGAAGGAATACTGAATTCATTCTTAGTGCAACCTATTAGAATGCATTCTGATTTTTATTCTTCCACTTTCCAATGAAAGGACATATCACATCCACAGCACAGTTCCTAGATCATCTTTGTTAAATTTGAAGAAAGTGTCTAAAATAGCATAGATTGACATCCCATAAATTGGATTATTTTTGTAATAACTTTTAGTTATCTTATTGTTTTCTATTTTAAATAAATTTAGATAGGCTGCCCAACATATATCTTTGTCACTTGGAGTGGGTAAGATAATTTTAACTGTTTTTTCATTGCTATGCTTTAATTAGAAGCACCTTAAGACTTAAGGTATTTTTCAAACAACTGAAAAAATAAAATGATATCTTAGTTGATCAATTGCTGTCTAATTGCATCCATCTAGTGATATTACATACTGTATCAGACTTACAGAGTTTTCAAAATAAAAACAAACATAAAGCTACATTTGTTGCACTTACAGTAAATATAAATTTCTGTACATTCCTTACTGCTTCAAACAGTTTTTGTCAAAGCATCGGATAGAAACTATTTGAAGAAGTAAGGAAATACACAAAAACCAATATAAATATTTGTGATTCTATATATACTCATGATCGTTTTTGCTTTGTATTACAGTAAATGAGCTTAATTCTTCTTCAGTTATATGCCATTATTAATGACTAAGAAAAGCCACAGGTAGCAATTCTAATAATGCCAAATAATTTTGACAAGTAGTTTGCAGCAATGTGCATTATTCTGTTGTTTTTTTTTAGATCACCCAATAATCTACAGGAATATTCTAACACATGTAGATTATAGGTTGCATTTTTTTTTCATTCTCTGCAGAATCAGATTATATTCAAAGGTGCATGTGATTTCTTCTTCATTACCTGCATCCAATATTTGTGCCATTCTTGTTCTCTAACAATTGACATAACAGAAAATATATTATTGATCAGCATGATGAATATGATCTAATAACTTCAACTTTTTCTAAAAAAAATTAAAAGATATCTAAGTCAGCTCTTCATTCTTGCAAGATGAGTTATAGAATGATTTCTTCACCAAATATATTTTACAGCTCCTACTTCAGGATCTAAGGGTAATAATTTTTAAAAGGAGAAAGACATCTTTATTTAGAGATTTACCTGAAGGGTAATGTTCATTTACTGGCCATCCATCTACCTGAAGTGTTGCATTACCACCGTTTCGGGTAAAACGCACAACATGGTATTTGCCATCATTCACAGGAGTGCTCTCTTCTTTGATAGAGATATCTACTGTGCCAATATTGAAGACTACACCAATTTTGCCTTGTTCCTGTGAAGGAAAGAAAAGAGTTGTGGGTAAATTCTGGAAGCAAAGTCACAGGAAGAACGGTTGAAAGATGGACATGTTTCACTCAAAGTAATAAGATGAATGTACACACAATGAGTACGCAGGACATATTTGCCTTTGTAAGTCATGTGATATAAAACTTGATATAAAGCATGACAAAATAATATCTAAATCAAGTGAGGTGTGGTAGCTGAGTGTCTTAAAGATGCTGGATTTGTTGGCCAGAGAAGGTTGGCTTTCTGCAGTCTACCATTCGAGACCATTGAATGACGGAGTGGCTGTCAGGGTTCCAACCCCCCAACCAAGTAAGAATCCGAGGCAATTTCTCAAAGATCCAGTTTATTAGAGATGTCATATTGGCACATCTGGGAAAAACCCAAATCTGAAAGCTCCTGGGTTTTCCCCACCCAAAAGAAAGTCAAAGTCCCTTCCCCTGCACCCACATGTCCATCACATGGTCCAATCAATCCACTGTCCCAACTGGAGATGCCTCCCCGTCACGCCACTCCAGGGGCAGGCTGAATGTCCTTGACTCTCAGAGAAAAGAATGTTGTTATGGCTAAATAACTCTAGCAACTCCATACAAACCCCCTTCCCACTTCCCCACAGCACTAAGTGTGGCAGCCCTAAAGATCCAAAAGGAAAGATGGCCTCCAGGGCTGCCAGTGAGTTCCCATTACTCGCCTCAGCTTCTGCCAACCTAGCAGTTTGAAAGCATATAAATAAATAATAAATAGGTACCACTCCAGTGGGATTAATGGCAGAAACAAAAATCCAACTGGCACTGGACTGGCCAAATGTGAGGCAAAAACTGGTGGGGGAAAAACCCCAGATGACACTAACACTCCCACAGAACTTTGTTAGCTGCCCTGAGTATGGAGTTAGTACACACACACACACACACACACACACACACACACACACACAGAGTTCCCTAGATAGGGTGTGAGTGTGTACTGAATGAACTAGCATTCTTAGGCAGCCAAACTACTACTCTGTAATAACATTGTAGACTTCTGGTTTTCATGTACCAAACCTATATGCTAAATAAATAAATAAATATAATCTACATCCAGTGTACCCTAGACTCATTTATTTCTCTAATTCTTTTAAAATCTTATTTTACTCAAGACCGGCATCAGAAATCGTAACGATATAACATTTAACATGAAAATGAGCATCTGCTTCTCATCTTAAACAAGGCAATATTGATCCCATCTGCACTTTTTATTCCATACAGTTACTTCAAAGCCTGAACAAAAATTGCACTTTGAAGAGCAATATTACAAAAGCCAATTTTACAGCCAGAATGACTTATATGTGGCCAATAAAAGAAAACTGAACACATAAGGTAAAAATGGAATGCATAAGATAAAGCACATAGGAGATGCCAGTTTCCTAGGATTGAATCCATCTGTCCTGCTGGTGTCCAATTAGCATTCTGATAAAATTGCATCGTCACTTTAGAACAATGTTTCTCAACACTGGAAGCTTTAAGATGGGTGGACTTCAACTCCCAGAATCCCCCAGCCAGTCCACCCATCTTCAAGCTTCCAAGGTTGAGAAACACTGCTTTAGAGTCATATTACAGTAATATTACCATGCAAATGGATCAGGAAAAAATGAATTTATTAACCAAACACTTCACATGAGTATAGTTGAATAGTAACACATAACATGGTTCTATATGAAGCAATCCTGGATTATTCCTGGCCTTTTCACTTAAAAGTGATCAGATAAAAGACAATCAGATGGGATCCTGTGATCCCATTATACGGACTGATTCTAATATATTTCTAATTATGTGAAAGGACAGGAATAAACATACCAATGGAATACGCATATTTTTCTGGGGATTGACATTAGATGGGGAAAATACATTTCATTATTTTTTTTATTTTTTTTTATTTTTTAGATTTATATGCCGCTCTTCTCCGGAGACTCAGGGCGGCTTTACAATGCGCTAAGCAATAGCCTTCATTCTTTTGTATATTTATGCAAAGTCAGCTTATTGCCCCCACAACTGGGTCCTCAATTTACCTACCTTAGAAAGGATGGAAGGCTGAGTCAACCTTGAGCCTTGGCGAGATTCGAACCTGCAGTAATTGCAGGCAGCTGGTCTTAATAACCAGCTTAATAACAGGGTGCCTTAGACCACTGTACTACCAAGGCTCTTATTATATAACCTTTTTGATATTTGTTCAATAACTTCTATTGAAGTTTGCTGAGAACATTATTTGGGTTTCCTTTGGATGGCCCATCATGGAATGGAAAAGAGGATGGTGTGGAAGTAGGTGACCATGATGTCAATTGAGCCATGGAAAGAAAAGACTGAAAAGAGGAGAAAATGAAAGAGAAAAAAATGTGTGTGTGAAAGAGAGAACAAACAAAGGTAGATAAAATATAGAAGAAGGGAAGATAAAAACAGGTCAGAGGAATCAAAAGTCACATCAGGCCAGGACTAGGATAATTAGGCTGGCTGGATAAGACCCAAGTAAAACTGACCATAGAGATATGAACAACGGAGAGTGAATTCAAACCTCATCTTGGGACTGTGTGAAAATATGTGATGATGGTGGCAGAAGAAGACTACAAGTATAAATCAAGCAATCATACGATAAGATTATAAGGATTAAATTATCTGTTCTTAGAACAGGAGTCAGAGAATTGAGAAGTATCCCTCATGGAATGAGACTCTCTCCTGTTCCTGGCCTAAATAGTGAAAGGGACCTGAGGACTGATTATTTTAGAAGGTGCAACTGGGATGTGTGGTTGTGGTATGAATACAGCTGGGTGGGGGGGGTTATATATAAGTGGGGTTGGATACATCAGATGCAATTGACCATTACTATAGGGCACAATTGGCTGACTAGAAGAAGGCTGATGGAGAGCTAAAGGGAAAGAGATAGAAGAAGACCATCATTATATATTGCTGCAGTTGAGTTAAGGACTCTCAATAGTTCACATATATAAAGGTAAAGGTAAAGGTTCCCCTCGCACATATATTCTAGTCGTTCCTGACTCTAGGGGGCGGTGCTCATCTCCGTTTCAAAGCTGAAGAGCCAGCGCTGTCTGAAGACATCTCCGTGGTCACGTGGCCGGCATGACTAAACGCCAAAGGTGCACGGAACGCTGTTACCTTCCCAGCAAAGGTGGTCCTTATTTTTCTACTTGCATTTTTTACGTGCTTTCGAACTGCTAGATTGGCAGAAGCTGGGACAAATAACAGGAGCTTATCCCATTATGCAGCACTAGGGATTCAAATCGTTGAACTGCCGACCTTTCAACAGACAAGCTCAGTGTCTTAGCCACCAAGCCACCGCATCCCTCTAGTTCACACATATATACATATACAATTAAAACATCCATGAGAAAATTTTTAAAATAAAAGAATAAAAATAAACAACATCATTCCCCAAATAATCTATGAAATCTGATTTAAACTGTAAAAGACAGTGAGGGACCCAATCTAATTGGGTCCCTCACTGTCTTTTATAACCAGGCGGCTATTTCAATGAAACAGTTCTTCCAGGCCATCTCCTCCATCACTTCCAGAAAGTGGGGAACCCTATGCTATTTCTCCTGGAAACATTGCATAGGTCAGGCCATCTCCATCTGTACAACTGAACCAGAATATTTTTATTACTGATTATTGTTATTTTGTATTACTGCTTTTATTAAAACTTAAATCTACATATACATTGCCTAGAGTCCAACTAAGATGACAGATGAATCCCATAATTAAGATAAATTAAATCTCTGGAATATCAAATTAAACAAAGAGGACTTGTTAAGAATTTATTTCATTCCCACCTGCATACATGTTTTATTAGTCTTACTTCAGTTCTACTTTATTAGTCATAATCTCTCTCACATATATACACGCACACACATATACACAAAAGGCACAATTGGTTCCTCAGCATGAATTCTTAAGGGATCCATGAATTATAAAAACAGCTGTAGTGCTTAAAAAACTCTAACACCTTATTTGATGAAACTAGGTATCTGCTATCTGTTAAGTTTGGGTGACAATGTTCATGTAACAATAAGACTTCTAAAAAAATATACGTCAATTCATTCTTTCTTTCAAGTTTATAAAAATGGTCTCCATGTGGAGAATATTTCTGTCGCTGTTGCATTTCCTTCACTCCTGATGGACCTTCTGGCAAAACAGTGCCCATTGGGGAAAATGGATTTGCTTAATCACTGCAGCATTCACTTAACAACCGCTGTGTTAAGTATCCATTATAAAAACCAACTTTGAATCCGGTCATGCAGTGCCTCAATTTATGAACACAATGACTTACAACCATAATTCTGGATTTAATTCCAGTCATAAGTTGAGGACTACCTGTATTTCATCAATTGCTCAGCATTGTTACGGAAATAATGAATTTCTGGTATCTTTATTATTTAAAACTGAGTATAAAATGGTAAACTCCACATTTAACTTTTGTTTTGGCTCCACAATATCAGTAAAATTCTTTGCTTACATTCCCTTAACTTATTTACAGGTATTGAATCTAGTAGAACAGCTTGATTCTTTTTATTCTAGGCATGAAAACAATTTCTGTTACTATTTAGTGGCCAATCACCTACCAAGGAAGATGATACATTGGTCTTCATAAATACAGTATACCATAAGAATTACTGGCTACAATTGTTTTTTTTTTTAAACAAAAAGGTTTTATTATTTTTTAAATTCAAACAAATAACATTTTCACTTATCTATTTAAACATTTGTTAACCCAACCTTCAACCCCCCCTTCCCTCCCCCCTCCCCCGATTTCCCAGAAGAAAAACAGGGTATAAATTTTACCAAACATACCCTAAAATATGCTAAGTTAATGCAAGACATTAAAACTCCCTAGACCCCTTAACTCCCCTTCTACAGATTATTCATCAACCTCCCTTTAAACTCAGAATAACATATAATCCTTTAGCCCTAAGAGTTTTTTAAAAACCATTAACAAACACTA